TGATCGATCCTTGTTTCTCTAACTTCATATGTGCACTAATGTCTCACGTATTTTTATTCCATAGTGTTAAGTAAAAGCTTTAGAAGAGCCTTACTTCTCAGATTGTACAACTCTGGGTAGTATCACAGAACAGCTAATTCTGCATACACTTCAAGTGGAATAGTTAAGATTGTAATAACAGAACTACAGTATGGATTTTATGTTATAATGATTCTTTGGTCATGTACTTGCTTGCAAAAAAAAAAAAAGCAACAAACAACAACCCCAAAAGGAACAAAAAACCCCCACCAATAACAACTCTGAAGGCCTCTTTTATTATGAACTTTGTCATGCAATTTTATTATTTTCTTTTAATGATTTGACAGGATGTAGCTGAATTTTGTGTGTGGGAGAAAGTATCTAGTATACTCATCTTCCACAAAGTCCTTGAGAGAATTACATAGCGTGTTAGAATATAACTGAATATGAAGGCCTTCATTTTAAGTATTTTATAGTTGGTTTGTACCCATTGCCACTTATGCTGGCATTGGATGCTGCTGAATCTGGCTCTGCCATCTTTACATCTGCACATGAATTGGATTACGTAACCATGTGCTCTGAAGTTGGAAGTGACCTCTTGAGAAAGTCTAGTCCACTCATCTGCTCGAGCAAGGTTGGCTAGAGCGTGTTGATCTTCAGTCTGTTCAGTTGGCTGTTGAATGTCTCTGAAGATGGTCGCTTCACAGTCTCACTGAACAACCTCTTCCAGTGTTTGCTCTCACAGGGGAGGGAAAAAGTGTTTTCTTTTGTTCAGATCGATTTTTTTTTTTTTTTTTTTTTTTTAATTTGTGCTCTTGCTGTTAGTCCAGTCACTGTGTACTGCTGGAAAATGTCAGACTTCATCACTCCTTCCTGCTGAGTGAATACGTGTGTAAAGACCCCTCACACTCCATGAACCTTTCCTTCTCCAAGCTTACGGTCCCAGCTCTCTAAGCCTTTCCTCACAGGAGAGCTGCTGCTGTCTCTTCATCTTGGTGGCCCTCAGCTAGACTCTTTCCAGTATGTTTATGTCCACTGGTGGTCCAGCTATGGGCATAGTACTTAGGTGTGGCTTCACCAGTGCTGAGTAAAGGGGAAGTACCACTTTCAGCATGGCAGCAGTACTTAAATCTAACGCAGCCCAGGATATCATTCACCTTTTATATTAACAGGGACACACTGCTGGTTCTTGCTGATAAAAAGACCAAATGCTGAATCTTGCACTTCAATCACCAAAACCCCCATGTATTACTACAGGCTTGTGCAGAGTGGCTGGAAAGCTGTGTGGAGGAAGAGGAACCTGAAATGTTAGTTGGCAGCTATCTGTACATAAATTAGCAGTATGCCTAGATGGCCAAGAAGGTCAGTAATTTCCTGGCTTGTATCAGAAATAGTTTAGCCAGCAGGACCAGGGAGGTGATTGTCCCTCTGTACTTGATGCTGATGAGGCCAGGCCTGGAGTACTGTGCTTGGTTTTTGGCCCCTCACTGCAAGGAAGACATCTGCAAGGAGCGTGTCTAAAAGGAGGGCAGTGAAGCTGGTGAGGGGTCTGGAGCACAGGCCTTATGAGTAGCAGCTGAGGGAACTGGGATTGTTTAGTTTGGAGGAGGCTCGGGATACATTATTCTCTCGCTGCAACTGTCTGAAAGGAGACTGTGGCGAGGTGGGAATCCACCTGGTTTTCCTTGGTAACAGTGGTAGGACTAAATAGAGGTAACGGCTTTAAGTTGCACCACGAGAAGTTCAAATTGGTTATTAAGGAAAATTTTTGCTTGGAAAGATCAGTAGTGCATTGGAACAGGCTGCCAGGGAAGGTGGTGAAGTCACTGTTCCTGGAGGTATTCAAGAAAAGTTAGATATCTCATTAGTTGACATAGTTTAGTGGTGTAGCAATGATGGATTGATGGCTAAGCTCTTTTCCAACTTTATTGATTCTGCCATTCATGTTGACTTGGTGTCCAGCAGGACTTCAAAAGGTCTCTTCTGCCACTCACTGGCCCCTCACTGAATGTGGATCTCTGCATGTTCCATTACTGAGCTTGATGAGCATGGTTACTGTCAAGCTGCACCTGTCTGTGTCCCTGTGGAGGGCAGTACAGCACCGTAGATTATCTGGTGTTCTTCCTACCTTTGTATTCTCTGCAAAAACCTCATGGAAATGAGTGTAAGAGCTGTTGAAGTAGAGAGACAGCTCATTTATTGGTTAACAATACTGACAACTGCTTTTTGTACAAGACTTTGAAGTTAATGCTTGACTAGGTTTAGGAGTCCTTAGGTTCAGAAATGCTTGACTTGGTACAGGGCGGTTGAGTGAATAACAAACTTTTAAAAAGTTCTGTCTGCTGAAGAAAAGAATATTAGTAATTAGAAAACAAAAATTCATAAGTGGCTGCTGAAGTTGCTCGGTTTTAAATGCATTTCCCTCCCCCTGAAAACAGAACTAAAGAATGAATCAACTGTTCTTTCTCTGTCTCTCCAAGAAGCCCCTCAAAACTGAAATAAGAGTACAGTGAAGAGCTGAGAGACGTATACTGATCTTTGTTCTAAGCTAAAATCATAGAATCCTTAGAGTTGGGAGGGACCCTTAAAGGTCACTTAGTCCAACTCCCCTGCAATGAACAAGGATATGTGCAGCTAGATCAAATTGCCCAGGGCCTGATCCATTGTTTCTTTGAGAGCCTCCAGGAACTGTGCATCGATCACATCTCTGGGCATCCTGTTTCAGTGCCTCACCACTTTCACTGTAAAAGGCTTTTTCCTTACATCCAACCTAAATCTATCCTCTTTAAGCTTGAAGCCATTTTTTCTTGTTCTGTTGCCACAGATCCTGTGGAAGAGTCTGTCCCTTTCTTTCCTGTAGCCCCCCTTTAGATACTGAAGGGCACTGGCCAGACAGAACAGCCCCAGCTCTGTCAGCCTGTCCTCGTAGGAGAGGTGTTCTGTAGATAATCTTTGTTGCTCTCCTCTGGATGCACTCCAACAGGTCCATGTCTCTCTGTACTGAGGCCTCCATATTTGGATGCAGTACTCCAGGTGAAGTCTCACCAGCATAGAGGGGCAGGATCACCTCTCTTGCCCTGCTGGCCACACTTCTTTTGATGCAGCCCAGATTACAGTTGGCTTTCTGGGCTGCGAGGGCGCGTTGCTGGCTCATGTCCAGCTGCCTATCCACCAGTACCCCCAAGTCTTGTTTAGTAGGGCTGTGTTCAATCCTTTCATCCCTCAGCTTGTATTGGTAGTAGGGGTTGCCTCCACCCAGGTGCAATACCTTGCATTTGGTTGTGTTGAACTTCATGAGATTGTCTTGGGCCCACTGCTCAAGCCTGCCTAGGTCCCTCTGGAGAAAGTATTGATGACTGCAGGTTGTGTTGTATAACAGTTAGTGAAGTAGCTTAAAAGTATGAAACAATAATGACAGACTATTAATTTTTTTTTTGCCAGTAAATAGTTTATATTAGAGGTTATATATTTGTATACACTGCACTTATGTGCATGTATGAAACTGAAGAGCTAAAAACTGATTAAAGAGAGATCAACTACCCTGTTTCATTATCTTTCCAATGTCATTTTATTGTCAGTAAAGCATTATGAATAACAAACTCTGTATACTACTTGGCACAATGTATACAAGCAAGGAAAGCTTTAACTTCAGGTATAACCTAATCTCATTGACTTGGAACTGGTCATCATAATGAATTTATATTTGGTTCTTTAATGGATGGGACTAAGTGAAGGATGCATGGCATGTGTTTACTACAAGGGAAGGTATCTCAGTTTTATATGTTGGGATGTGCTTGCCTCTATGGACCTGATAATCATAATTTAAATACAAAAATAGTTCTGAATTAAAATGGTACTGTTTTTTTTTTTAATCATTGGAGACTTGCAGAAATTTAGTTAATTTCATTTCAATCAGGGATGGAAATAATTTAGAGAGGGGGGTAGAAAAGAGAGGAGTGTGGGGGGGAAAAAAAGAAATCTAATTGTTAAAAATGGAGAGTGGTCTTCTGGGAGAAGTAGGAAGGCAAAAAACATAATTTAAGGGCACAAGAAGCAGGCTGAATCTTTGAATGCTAGCAGGAGCGTGAAACATGCAGAGATATAGGAAAACTGTGATTCCCTTTATAAGTGGTTCATACCTAAGCTAAGAGAGAGATGAAGCTAATGAAGTTACTGGCTAATACACTAACATACAAGTAGTGCAAGATGACATGGTTTGGTAACAAAACCGTGGATGTATTATGTTTTGCTGATGGATAAAGTCATAAAATTGTTAAGGTTGGAAAAGTCCAATAAGATCATCTAGTCAAGCACATCACCACCATATCCCTTAAACCTTGTCCCTCAAATCTTCCCTTTCCTCAAATGAGGAATGACACAGCAAATCACTGAAAAAGCTAGTCAAAGCTGACTTACTTTTGTTCTGAAATGAGGATTTTTTTTTTTGTAAGATTAAGGAATAAATTTGTAAATGGTCATATTATTGCAACTTGGCAATGCAGACTGATACAATTCTATTGAAGTGCTGACATGTGAGTTAGAAAATCTTTTTGCCTATGTTTGTAGTGTGATTGGAAAGTCAGTAATCAGTTTCCTCATGAACTAAGTTGGAATAATAATATGCATAGCTTTGTTGGTCTAGATTATACCTGTGTAATGTAAATATCTACACAGAGAAATGTAACAAACTGTGAATGCATCAACACTGAAAGTTGCTAGTATGGTGTTAAAGGTAAAGTTGAGATAGCATGTTGTAAAAACAGCGAGAGGATTGTATGGATTTTTGTACTGGATTTTTATGTAACTGTTGCTTATGGTAGATATGTCTTCGGGGTAAGGACTGAGTGGTCTTAAAGGAGTTTGTGCCTTTTATAATACTATGGAATTTTGAAAACTTTTCTCCTAGTCAAAACATATGCTGAGTTTCAGATGCTGTTTGACAGAAGATTATTCTCTTCAGTATATGTTGTTTTATTTTTCAGCTGGATTGAAAGTGAACCACAATGGCGGCAGTCACGTCTGATAGTCCTCCAAATCCAAGCTGCAAAATCATGACTTTTAGGCCTTCAATGGACGAATTCAGAGAGTTCAACAAATACTTAGCATACATGGAATCACAAGGTGCTCATAGGGCTGGAGTTGCAAAGGTAAGCATCTTTAATATAGAAGGAAAATTGTTCCTAATACGTGTTTTTTCTACTACTTTTATTTCACTGATTGTGATACTGATCTTATTGACTTATAATATTTTTCCATGTGAATTTCAATGAATTTGATGCTGGTCTGTTTTTCTGGTTGTAGTCTTCGTGTTATGCAAATGAATGAAGATACTCTTCTCTTACCAACCTTCAATTTTTGGCATATTTACAACAGAAAAAGAGGATCTTTTCCTAAGGCAGGTTTAAACTAGTTTTGATAATGCAAGATGTGTATATATAGGGAAAAACATAATATACATGTCTTGCTCTAAAAGTTATGCCTTCAGTTTATTTTCATAGAAACTACAACAGTACAGAAGAACACAGTGGCACTACTTGGTACAGCACAGTCTCAGCTACAAAACCATATTTTTCAGCATAGTTGCCATTATTAGCTATTCGTTTTGCCAGTGATGAACAAGAGCCTGCATGCTGTACTTTTTTTAAAAAAAACAAAAACAATGCCCCAGTGGAGTTAACCCACTGTTTCATAGCTACTGCAATGGCATTGTTGCTAGGAAAATGTTGCCCATGCACTACTGTTTTTTATTGGCCCAAATGGTTAGAAGCCAGAATGTGTGAAGTCCAGACTGTGGTAGGACAGTCCAGCCAAGGTTGGCAGCATGCTTCATGGTCTTTAGTCTGGTATGGGGCCTGGTGTTACCTTGTGGCGAGAAAAGGGTTGTCTTCTTTGTCTTGAGTTTGGAAGTTCAAACCTTCAGCTTAGTCAGTGTTGTGTTGTAGCAGAGTTGATTGTTTATCTAGGTTGCATGAAATTGGGAAGGATCATCCCTTTGCTATCCCAAAAGACAATAAACATCACTCTACCTTCTAGGTCTTAATCTTTGATGAGAAATTCACACACTCTGTGGACTGCTATTTTGACTCCAGCTTATTGTGGTGATATGATGTCTCATCACCATTAGTGATGTGATCCAGGAAACTGTCACCACTGTCCTGACAAACTTGCGTATGATATTCTCTGCGGTCCTGTATGAGCACTCATGGTGCTCATCTAGTACAAACTTTGTGATATTCCAATATTGCCATGATTGTTTCCAACATGTTGATATCAATATTCATCTCCATATATAGTTTCCTAGTTGTATTCCACCAATTTGAGGTGCACTTCATTTCATGGTGTGACAGGTATGCACCATCTAGCAAATTGCTATAGTGACATCCACTCTTTGGTCTCCAGAAGCATTCAACAAGCATTGATGAATGTTAGCAAGTGTGTTTTTTTCCAGAAGGAGAAATTAGTAACCCACCTTTGTTTTATACACACTTTGATGTCAGGCACCATTTTGTCAGACTGCCCTTCTGCTGCTGTCTGTTGCACAGCAATAGGATGTAATAGAATACTGCTGTTCCACCAGTATGTGTTTCTAATATCATAAGCCAACATCATAAAATAGGAGGCATTACTCTTGGAGCACCCTGTGTGTGTGGAGTATATAAAAGGAGAGGTGTTACCATAAACTAGAAAATATTCATCTGTCAGATGGCAAATGCAGTCCCTTAGGCTTGCATACAACCATACAGATGAAGCAGATAATCCCACTACAGTCAGTATATAAAAAAGCATATGCTTTAAGGTTAGTGAGGCACCACTGAGATTAAATCCATATTTGTTTACTTTTTGGTGGTGATTCTTTTTTTTTTTTATAATGAGAATTAAATGTAGAATAAGATTGTAGAACAGTCTCTGAGAGATCATGAAGTTTAGCCATTCACCTGTCTACCAGATCTACCACTGAACCATGTCACTAGATGACACCCCTGCACATTTATTAAATACCTTTGGAGATGGTGACTCCACTTCCCTGAGCAGCTTGTTCCAATGCCTAGCCCCTCCTTCTGAGAACAAATTCTTCTTGATATCCAGTCTAAACCTCCCCTGCTGTAACTTGAAGCCATTTCTTTATGTTTTGCTGCCTGAATAAACAGCGTGACTTATTTGCTCCTACCTCCTTTCAGGTAGCTGTAGAGAATGATGATGTGTCTCTCCTTTTTTCCAGGCCAGACAACCTCAGTTCTCTCAACCACTCCACATAAATTTCCAGTTCTTTAACTGATTTTATTTTTTTCTGCATATCCTAGAGCAAGTCAGCATCCTTCTTGCAGCAAGGGATCCAAAATTGAAGATGGTACTCCATGTGCAGCACCACCAGTGCTTGAGTATAGAGGGACAATCTCTTTCCTACTCCTTCTGGCTATGCTATTTCTCATGCAGGCCAGGATGTTGTTCACCTTCTTGGCTGTATGGGCTCATGATAGCTGGCTGTTGACCTGTACCTCTACGTCCTTTCCTGCCAACTACTTTTCCCCAAGCCCACACAGATGCTTAGGTTGTTAAGACCCACCCAGTGAGCCCAGCACTTAGGCTTACTGAATGACATATAACTGGTTGTTGCCCACTGATCCAGCCGATCCAAATCCTTCTGCACAGCCTTCCTACCCTCAAGCAGATCAACACTCCCACTCAGCATAATGTCATCTGGGAACTTACTGTGGTTGCACCCAATCTCCTCGTCCAGATAGTTGATAAAAACGTTAAATGAGACTGGCTGCCGTACTGAGCCATAGGGAACACTGATTGTAACCATCTGCGAACTACTTTTAATTTCATTCACAAGGACCCTTGGGGCCTGGCCATCCAGAAAGGCTTTTGCCCAGCACACCGCACATCTGTCCAAGCAGTGAGCTGCTGGTTTCTTCAAGAGGATGCTGTGGGAGACACTAGCAAATGCTATGCAAAAGCTCAAGTAAACAACATGCACAGCCTTTCTTTGTTTACGTAAGCAGGTGATCTTACCATAGAGGTAGACCAGGTTAGTCAAGCAGGACCTGTCTTTCATTAATCCATGCTGACTGAGTTTGATCAGCCAGTCCAGTATGTGCTGTGTAATGACATTCTATGACTTTCCCTGGTGCAGAAGTAAGTCTGACAGGCCAATAATGCCCTGGATCCTCCTTCATGGTAGAAAGTCATTATTTTCACTAAGCCCAAGTCAACTGGGACCTCCCTGTTTGGCCAGCACTAAGTAAGGAAAGTGGCGTGGTGAGCATTTCTGCCAGCACTATTAATACCTTTGGGTGGATCCCAGTCATGCAGGGATTTGTGTGTGTTCAAGTGGAGTAGCAGGTCACTAACTGTTTCCCCCTGGATTTTAAGGGTTTCATTGTGTTCCCTGTCTTCCAGCTCAGTGGTCTGAGTAGTGGTGAATAATTGGTCGCAGTAGTAAAGTCTGAGACAAAGAAAGCAGTGAGTATATTTTCAAGCAGTGGTATATCCAGAATCTTTCAATAGTTACTCCTCCCCTAATGGAGAGTTGTTGTCAGAGATTAGATCTGATGTAGTTTAGTGTTGTGTCATATTTGTGCCTTATCTGTTTTGTCACTTTTGAAATGAACAGCACACCATGTGGTGAAGTCCTAGAAATCCTAACTTAGTTATTTTAAGTTGCTATTGGGAGCAGCTCTCCTCATCACTGGGATTTTAAGCTATTGGAGTGAAATTGAGATACTTAAAATTGAGAGAAGAGAAACAAACTTGGCTGAACATCTCAAACTTTTGAAAACTTTTTCCTTCATGACTTCCCAGGTCAGGGTATATATAGAACATTTTCAAACTCTTCTCTGCAAACAGGAGTAGAAATAAGATAAACTAAAATGAGGCTTTTTTTTTCCCTGTTTCTTATAGTCAGCCGTATTATGAAATGTTTCTTTGTGTGGGAATGAACTATTACAGACCTCATCTTTAACAGTAAACTTACCAGCAAGATCTGTCTCAACAGACCTACCTATATATTACCATATATGTGGGCAACACAGTATATCTCCGTTACTATCTTTGACGTTAAAAAATAGTTTTTTCCTATACTGTTTATGTACTATTTTTATTTCTCTTGTTAGTGGGTTCTCATACCCAAAGAAAAATAAACTTTCTGACCAGCTACTATGCTTTCTTTATTCATATGTATTTGTTGAATGTGGCAAGTTTCCTTTGGTATGTTGTGTAAACAACAAGTATGCATAGACTGCTTTCCTTGCTATCTCTGGGTATATAAGGAAATTATAGCAGATGCCAATATTACTGTATATTATGTTTGGAAAAAAAATTAACACATAATTAACTAGTTTTGTTTAAAAGCAGGCATAGTTCTGACTGATACTTTATCAAGCGCTGTTTTTCCTAGAATGTAACAAATCTTTTTGTGTAAGAGTATTTAAAAATTAGTTTCACTTGAAGAAAATGCACCCCATCAATTTCATTTAAAGGGAAACAAAGTTCAGTGGTCCTCTTTGGCACTACTTATTAGCTATATCATCAGACATGATACTACAAACCTTCATATGGATATGCAAAAATCCAAGCATATTTGAGATCTTAATTAGGACAATTTATTTCCTCTATCTTTTTTCATGTGTACTTGTTCTTTTCTCACCTGTGAAAGATTGGAACAGCTGAGTGTCCTGGTCATCAGCTTGATGCAGATGATAAATGCTCCTCTTTGGCTACTGTTATATTTAACGTTAACCAGGGGGTCTAAAATTTAATTCCAGTAGATTAGTAATTCTTGTATATAAACATCAGGATGTCTAGAGAAGGAAGCTTCTATGTTCTGGCATTCTTGGTTGCAAAATTCCAGCCACTAGAAAGTGAAGTAATGAATTTCTCTCAATGAAATAATGGCAAGATTGTATGTATTCCTCGGATTACTGCATGAGTATAATTTTTGTAATTGTTCTGATTTACTTCCTTAGCTCAGCTCTGGTTCCTTTCCTACTATCCACAATTAACCTCTATTTGCAACCAGGTAACGTAGATATCAGTAGAATTTACTCATGCTGTCACTTCAGAAAGAGTGACACTTAGTGTTTAATGTGTGGTTTTGTAGACTTGTAACTTTCTTGTAAACTTTCTAAAGCTGAAACACCCCAAC